TAGCGCCCAAGGTCTTTGACCTCCAATTAATCCATGGCTCATGGTGTTCCAACCATGCAGTTCCTAGGATGGGGTCAATCCTTGCATCCAAGTCTAAGCCTAGACAGCGTTCCACGCTATCAAAGTCAAGGAACTAGACTCCAAGGTCCACAGGGACCTTTGAGACCGTGACACATGTCCCCGTCGCTAGGCAAACAGTGAAGATGTCACCCAACCGCGCTTTCAGCACCTCAGCATACAGCTGGATTTGCTCCATCGTGGAGCGTCGAGCATAATCGCCTGACGCCCCAGAATCGATGAGGGTTTTCCATAGCTTCTCGAAGCCCTTTACGGTCGCCTCCACGATCAGCAAGCCCGGCTTGCATACACGTTCCGTGTTTAAGAGCCCGGGGCTCTTCGGGGCTGGGCCCTGTTGACCTATGCCTCCCTGAGGCTCAACAAAACTCAGTTCTTTCCCAGTAGGTTGCCCCGCGCCTACTGAGTGGTGTCGTTTCCTCGCGACAAACCGGACTGGTAGGCGTTGGGGCGATGGTTCGAAGAACCTTGACGCGCCTTGCCCAGGGGGCAACCATTCCAAAGGTGACGGGTGTTTCCACGGACAAAACACCGTCGAATGTGTGTATGCTGCCTGGCAGCTCGGAGCTCTGCTCCCTCATCCTCAGCATAGCTGAGATCCATGGGCATAGGCCCGCTCGACGAGCTGTTGGAGTGTGCATTCCAACCAAGTCGTGCCGACTTGAAATTGAATTAGGTATTCAATGCCACATTCACCATCACTTCGAATTAGGATGGATGCACACGGAGGACTTCCATTCTGGCCGCGCCAGCGCGGAGGCCTTCCATAAACACGGACACTGTGACGGCCCCCGGGAGGGGATCTGCTGCCATTTCGGCAATGAGAGTTCGCAACTCCTGAACAAAGTCCACCAATTCCATGTTGCCCTGTCGGGTGGCAAAGAAACGCGATCGCACGCGATACGCCTGATTAGGCGGCGAGAACACTCGGGAGAGCTGCAATTTCAGTTCCGCCCGGGAGGGAAACGCAGCTCCGACCGAAGGGCAGCACGTCAGTGCCCATTCTCGCGCTCGACCACAGAGCTTTGAGATGGCTAGCACCACGCGCTGTTGCTCGGTCTGGGGCATGGCGGATGCGATGGTCATCTTGACCTCTCTCACCCAGAGCTGGGGATTATATCCATTCTTCCCCTCAAATACCTTAACGCTCACCATGAGCGGCTTAGGTCGGGAAAACTCATCCGTCACCGACGGTGGTGTCCTTGACGCAAACGATGTAGACATCTTCTGCTGCAGGTGCTGTAGCAGCGCGTTTTCGTAACTCGAAAACGCCTCCAGACGCGCACCGATTGCCTCGGGGCCTTGTGCTACAAGATGTTGCACGCCCTCAGGGGCAAGCAAGTACATCAGCTTGTTAAGCCCGTCTTGACTGCCCTGAGGCAAAGAGGAGAATTCCTTCATCA